AACCTAGCGACATGGAACAGATTCTTCGGGATACCTTGTGGACTGGCCTTCGTGCCGATTTGAAGGATCTAACCAGCCATAAAGTAGACCAGGATGAGCCATACGAGAACTTCCTCAGGTACCTCCGCCAAGTCGAAGATGACCTGCTGCAGAGGAAATCAACACTCAAGAAGACTTGCACCATCAACAAGACCACTGTCCCCCCAGACAACTCAAGGAGATCGAAGGCCTGCTGAAATCTGTCTGCAGAGATAGCGACCCCAAAGGCACAAGTAGGTAGGACTGACAGGCCAGGGTGACCCCACTCCAGGATTTGCCATCTTCAGGTCAAGGTCAAGATATATATATTATATTTTAGAAATTAAAAGAGTAACTATCAGATTGTATATATTTATTAGATTCTATGTTGTATTTGCTTATGTTTTTATTTATTCGCCTACTCTACCATGTCTACTATCCGCCAACTTATTTTGTTTGTTTGTTGTTTAACGCCGCACTCAGCAATATTCCAGCTATATGACGGCGGTCTGTAAATAATCGAGTCTGGACCAGACAATCCAATGATATTAATCACTGGAGTGTCTGGTCCAGACTCGATTATTTACAGACCGCCGTCATACAGCTGGAATATTGCTGAGTGCGGCGTTAAACAACCAACCAACCAACCAACCACTAAATGGCATGACCACGCCAGGCCAAATTTAGCTGTGTGCCGACTCGCGTCGCCAAACATAATTGTTAATAGATAATTAATGCTAAGCCCCAAATGACGGAAACGTCGCTACCAGACCAACGCTGTGGGTCTAAATGGGAACGAACACCACCAGGCCCATTTATGTGGAAACTTGCGTGACCAAATTTAATTGTTACTAGATTCCCGAGTGAAAACCCGGGAAAGACTGGGTTCCGAGTGGTAAGAAGGTAACCCCATCTGTAACCCCATTTTTGTGGCATGGGATCGTAGTCAATGGCACCCCATAACTGTTCTCTGTTCATGTTGTTTAGTTTACAAATACGTCATGTGTCTGGTCGACTTCTAGAAGAGCAGGCGACTGAGAGAGTACTATTGCGTTGAGTGTACTGGTGAGGGCCGTCCTAAATTGTACTTTGCCGTACCAGATGGACTTGAAAGTACACTAATACTTGAGACCATGGCTCTTTATCGGTTAAAACACTTCCATCTTCATGAGTGACTCTCATTTGGACATGCAAGCGAGTACGTTTCAGATCTATATAATCACTTCCACCGTTAGAGATGAGAAATTCCACAGGACTGGAGTCGGTGATAGCGGACAGGGGTCGTACGTTCACTTAGAACTGTTGCGAGATACTTGTTTGATAAGGGGGCATTTCGAAAAGGTCTAAACTCGATGGTAACGCCTCGGTAAAATCGAGGACGACCTGTCTGTCACTACAGGTTTGATAGGAGCTTTAGATCTGCGTTCAAAGAACTGTATCCACCGTTGTATACCAGGAATTTACAGACGGCGCTCCATAATGTCGGAGGAGAAGTGACACTAAAGAACTAAATGTGAACCATGTGAACAGTCAGAGCCATCTTTCCGTATTACTGGCATAAACCACATGTGTTCAAATTGGTAATTGGGTACATCTCTAAATTCGACACGCCTAAGTAAGGGCTTAAACTCTTCCCCAATGCATGTAGTTACACACATTGCACAACACGTCTATATAAGGGTTATCGATAGTTGTCAGATCCAGTTTATAAAACCTTAATTCAGCCAGGGCAACCATCCACACAACTTCGAAACGTAGACAATGTTACAATTTGACATGGAAGCGGTAGGGTGTTTTTAAAAAAAATAGACTTTGGAATCAAACCTATTAAAGACCACATACCTGTGCATAATGACAACCAATGTTGACTGAATGCTTTGCACTTGACTTTTTTCTACCCACGAATCAAAACTGGACCGCCATTCAGTCCAACACACCAAGTAATGCTCTTTCGCCTTTTTTCGCTTTTGTTTCAACACCTTTAATATTCCATACCTGTTTTTGCTTACGTTTTGAAGCTCTTGCTCGTAAAACCGACCTTTTAAGATCTCGTCATGGAAATCATACATGTTTGAATAATTCTTCAGTCCAGCGGAAGTTGTGTTCCTCCCTGAAAGCTTTCCTCAAATGATTAATACATACAATATATCCCACCTTATACTCTAATTTATGGAATGGCTTCTTGCTTTTTACATGTATCAGCATTGGTCTAATGCGCAAGTGCTTCCAAAGTTTGAGTTCATTTTTCTTTCTCACATCAGCAGGAGCCCAATGTCCAAGGCTTCTGTGTACACTATGATTGTAGTTCTACCTTAAATCTGTTGACACATCAATACATTTTTTCAGTGTTGTTGTGTGTCAGATATCTAGATATGAGTGTTTTCTAATTACTCTCTCGGCATAATGAGCCTTTATGTCTTCGTTTTGAGTCACAATCAGCGTTATGTTTTGATAAGTCACATACTTTCTAAACTCTCCAGCAAATTCCATGCCTTTGTCATTTCGAATTCTTCATGGAATCCGACCCTCTTTGAAGATAGTTTTCAACCCTTTTGTGACCGTCACAGGCTTTTTATTCAGTAACGGGACAACCCACAAATTCCTCGACAGGATATCAATAACAATCAGTTAATATCGCAATCCATGTTTTGCCTTAGCATATCGACTCGCGTCAGCCAGGTCCACATCAAACATTTCATCTCGGTAGTTCACCCATACTCTCAAACGTGGACTCCTATAGTTCACTTATCATATTCTTATTTTCTTGACTTTATACTTGATTTTTCTCTGTTTCTGTAATGCTTGTTGAAATTTGATGGACCATAGAAGGCGATTGTACAACACATATTTCCACGTTTACAAAATGTCTCTTTCATCTGTCACCCATATTTAGATCAAACAACGTATTTAGTTATGAGAACACCTCTGACTTCCATACATATTTTCCCCAGTAAATTCTCTCCTCTCCATTTCGGAGGAAATACAATTTTCAGGTCATGTAGAGATAGTTCAACACCCTAACGTTTATCATAAGGTCTAGCCTCTAAGAGAATTCTAGGATAATAGTTGATCAGAATATCTTTTAAGTAAGCAGACTGGCGATATTTTGCAAGGGTGCTTTTTGCACTACATCACAGCTTACACTGTACCACTTCCATTGGTTAAACTGTCTAACACGTTTACCCTGTCGTTTCTACTCTGCAGGTGATGAACATTTTAAAAATCTTTTCGGCTGTGTCCCAATCTCCAAATCTTTAACATCGATATGAATGACAGTAGCCTAGTGTTGACTGAATGGAGAGGACTTGGAATAAAACAGTACGAACCTTTCTGCTATCATTGTTGCCGTCATGAGACGTTCACACACACGCGCACGCACGCGCGCACGCACGCACACACACACACACACACACACACACACGTTTCCACAACCTCGACTCAGCAGTTGCAAATGGAAAGACAAACGAATGTGCGCATGCATTATATCTAGAAATAAGTTTTAAATTCAATGGCTGTTGAAAGGGAAAAGTAAGCTGATTGGTTAGATAACCTATTGGCATCGTGTCTATATTTAAGTAGAGGGGAATGTCCGAGTTAATATCTGGCCCCGCACGGGGCGAGGCCCATTATTTGTAAGGAATGGCGAGTTTCGAGGATATTCCCTTACTTAAAACTCATCCCTACTTTAACACCTTGACCAAATATTCTGTTGTGGAAAATATTTGAAAAATAAAGCAGAACTCTTTGTTGTCTGTATTTATACTGTGTCAGTGATGCACGAAGAGTGCGTTATCAGCCGCTGTTGCACGTGCGCCAAGGTTCGTCGCGAGCTGACATTTACAATGCATGGTACACAGCTTTTCATAATTGTGTTGGGTCCTAAACTAGTATTTATCAATCGCTTGCATATTGTCAATACATGCTGATGGGAATAATAGGAAATATAGAGGGATGTGGCCACACATGCTTTCGGAAAGAAATATATATTTACTTGTCAATAAAAGTAAAAAATAGTTCCTTCTGTTCTAAGTGGAAATTAATTCGAATGTTGATCCAAGATAATGTATAGTTGACAAAAAACTCTCCATTCCTGAAAGGTTATGGAGCGTTCAAACAATAGAATGACGTCACAGATGTGTTTTAACATTTAAAATGACTGGTTCTGTTTGATTAAGGTGAAGAGAGATAGGCTAGCCTTAACAGAGAAGGACATTAACACTGAAGATTCCAAAAGAATTCCTCGGCTGGGGCATTTTAACAAAGGTCGGACTCTTCACATTCTTAAAATTAAGATTCTTTATGCATATGAATAGGAATTTCTGCTCGGATTGGCAAAGTCCAAACAAGGGAATTTGGCCAAGAAGTCTAACTTAAGCTTCAGGTATATCGATGATTTGATATAGTTCAATAACAATAAGATAGACAATTCCCTCCCACTTATTTACCCACCCCAACTTGAAAAAAGTTGTTTGATAAAGGTTAGAACATTCAAGGCCTCAGTAAAAATCTGATGGTAGACATGTGGAGGACATTTCCAAATGTGACGCATCACTGACAAAATGATGTTCGATGCAATTCACTATTTTGATTTGTAAGATATGTCCCCGTGTTTTTTTCAGGTGAACAAATGAGTTGACTTTGCGTGTATTCGGGACGGGTTCCACAGTGTTGTGACAGGGTGCCACTGTGGGACATGATGCTCTCGATCACCTGCTGTAATCGTATTTTGTTTGTAACACATGAACATATGCTTGTGAAAAATAGGTTCTGTCAAATTTAAATATAGTTCCCAGTGGGGGTATCTAAATGTCACGCATTGAATGTAAGGTTGTGTTTCAATACATATATCTACGAAGAAAGGTGTTATAAACATGATGACATCAATGAATGAAATGGTATAAAAGCCGAATAGATCGGCAGAAAGTCAGGTACTCTTCAAGAGAAAAGACATCTTTAAACGTTCGTTACACCAGCAACTTGAAATGGACGAATCAAATATCGTTATTTTGGGTGCAGAGAAAGTGGGGAAGTCTGCCATCGCTCAACAGTTTGTTTCCAGAACCTTCCCCGCTAAACATCGCAAGACAAAGGAGGACTACTACACAACCACAGCCAATCTGCCTGGTGAGACATGTTATAGAATGAGTGAGTGAGTGAGTGAGTTGGGTTTAACACTGATTTTTTAAACATTATTCCAGTTATATCACAGCGTGTCAGCTTAATGTGGGTGGAAAGCCCGAAGTGATGCAGGGCTCAGACGTTTACCACTTCGGTGAAACCAACGAGCACGGGTATGGTGCTGACAAACCTAGAAACATAATCGGGGCGAACCGAGATTCGAACCCACAATCACAGGTTTCTGGCGTGCCGAAGGGACACAATTCTGCACAGCGAATTTCGGCGGCTTAGACGACTGGGCCACCCGTGCCCCCTCCATAACTAATAACACATGCGAGAGTGTCGCATCCAGCAGCAGATGACCATGTTTTAGTGTATGCTGTTGATGATGCTAGAGCTATTGTTTAGAGTCCCCGAAAAATGCCTTAGGATAGAAATGATTCGCGGTGAGTTATCACACGAATAGTATGTGTTATTCAATTGCACTGACGTTATACATTATAAACCTTTGATTGTCAGGTAGCGTCATTCTAATACCACACAACCATCCCAATCCTGTTATTGATTGTACATCAGTTATTTAAAATGTTTCCTCGCTTTGATCAGGTGGCTGCCAGCTCTCTGTAGACCTTGTCGACACATCTGGGACGGAGAAACGACAGCGTATGCGAGAGTATCGCACCCAACACGCGGATGGCTATGTCGTAGTGTATGCTGTTGATGATGCCAAATCCTTCGCAAGAGCCCTTAAAATATGCCTTCGGATAGAAATGATTCGAGGTGAGTTTTCATAGGAATGTAGGTGATGAGATTGGATGTGAACAGTTTTTTTATTGAGTTTTGATAATCTGCCCTTTTTGCCAAAACGTATTTGATGTGACGATGTTATTTCTCAAACTTCATTCCATGATAATACTTCCTTATAATGACATGTACCATTACGTGACGTTTGTTGAATTCATCTCGTTATATCTTAAACGTTCTTCTTGCACATTTCAGGTTCTGACAGACCTCCAATAGTTCTGGTCGGGAACAAGTCGGACAGTAACAGAGTGGTCCCCACTCACACAGCATCCAAGGTGGCCACAGACACTCTCCATTGTAGCCACGTGGAGTGTAGTGCCATGAACATTGAAGACGTTGATCATATCTTTGGGACTTTATTGATGGCCATGAACAGTCGGAGGAAACAGCGTTTAGACAGCACCGGTTCTGAGTGTTAGATCATGATTACATTCTTTTTATTTTGTTTCAATAAATTTGTTATAGTTAGTTTCTTTGTCTTATTGTTATGTTTCAACACGAAAGAAGAAAAGTGTTTCATCAATAAGAAAGTGCTTATGTTTCTTTAAAATGTTTGCAAAATGGTATGTCAACTTGAATTGAGGATGAAAACCTAAAATGACACATAACATGGACGTTCGTTTGACAATGGTCTATAATCATAAAATATTTTTTTGTAAAATCCATTGTACAATTCCAATTACATCATACATCATGTTATATTAATCACAAATCCATGTAAAAAAACAAGCACGGTAATATATGGTAGGTATGTATAGGGAATTGGACATTTTGGAAATTACCTAAACGTGACGGAACTGAACTGAATTTGTGAAAGTAAATTAGAAATGTGCCAGTCTCTTCAATGGATTGAATACCTAATCAACTCCCCCCAACTGTAAAACATCAACCTCACTCAACACCTAACACAATCAAACACAATCACAATTCATGACAATCTACATACATCTTCAATGCATCTAAACAATCAATAGGTATACGTGTAGAATCGCAAATAAAACACTTTTGTGAACAGTAGCAATTAATCATTGCAACAATATAATACCAAACGTCAACGCCAGGTATAATCAGTATCAAGTATCTACCAAGACAAACTCCAATAGGCGTAAAAGGCAACATAGTTATGAGAGTTATCTGAATGGATCACTGAAGATCAACTATACAGAGTGTGCAAAACAAATAGTACCATGTAAGATCATGATTTTGTATGGAATCCTGGGAGGAACATTTCCACGTTGCCGCATTGTCGCCCTTACAAAAACAACAAAAAAGTATCAAAATTAAGTGAAGCCCAAAACTGTAACATTGCGACACTTTGACCTTTATAATGCGTGACAACATGAATATGACCCTTCTAGGATTCCATAAATGTGTCCTCCTGTAGGGTGTTCTTGTCTTCATGTCCAGTTTGTGTCATCTTCCTGACCATGGGTAATCTTAGAGAGACGCTTAAACTGCGCTTAAACTCAACTCTCATTTAAGGTACAGTCATGAAAGGTTGGGCTTCATTTCCCATCAGTTTGACTAATCGTTCATGCCCTTCCTAGGTTAAAGACTTTATGCCTGCCTTTCAATCAGCTTTCTGAAATCCATAAATCCATTATGGAGACAAGCCTGTATTATATGGTAATCTACGTTGTATGTATTATTGAAATACAATTTCCTTAGCATATAATCAACATATGCTTGACTACCGAATACCCTAAACTCTTCTGCGACCACTGTGGAAGTTGCAGGACTTTATTAGAACCCCACCTGGCTTGTCTTATGTCGGAACTGTGTCATCGGAACATTTGGGGAAAAGGAAAATATTCTTAAAGAATTTTGTCAAAGATTAATTTTCAGATATAAGGAAAACAGTGAAATACACCAGACATTCCCAAACCTAAGAAATGGTATCATGTAGAAAGTGTTTGCTACCAATGCCAAGAACAAATTACACATTAAAACAATATAGAGAAATCGTGTCGTTTCATGAAATGTTTTCTCTATCGTTCTCTATTACAAAATGTTTTGATGAAAATATTCTGCCTGTTGCTTATTTTCGATAAGAAAATATCCTGCTTCATTCATATCATACCATAACCAACTTGACTTCAATATATAGGAAACGGATAAAAGGTTCTCCTTCGCGATCTAATTAAACAAAGAAAACGCAATTGTGAATAGAATGCAACGAATCAAAGAACCGGAGATGGGGAAGAAAAAACACTTGAATGGTTATATGATATAACTGGAAGGTCAGTAATTATTCAGTCGCCGATGTAGAATCGGCTTTTCTCGTCTCTTTTTTAAAAAATACATCATAGGTCAGATCTGACAGACATTGAAATGTAATATTTTTAAAATTAACAGTCATTCGAATCTGGTTCTCTGGTTTGCAATATTCGTTGTCTCTCGTTTTGAGCATGTTTGGTAACTAGACGAAAAATGTGCAATATGTCACCTCCAGAAGGAATTAGTGGTGAAGATGTACGAGAACGATCCGAGGTTAATCGACAGTTTGCTTATGAACGTTGACGATGTTTTTGTCTCAAACGATGATAGCAATCATCATTTTCAGTATCGTTGATGCAGTTACTTTTCCTAACCGGGACTAGATAATGAAGTCAACCATACTGTTCAACCAACCCTCAGTCTGCTGTCTATCAACGCTTCACAGTGCTCGAACACACAATTTGTCTTGTCCTTTCTACGTGAGCTGTCTTCGTGAACATCACACTGTACCTGACATGAGACAGATTAAATGAGAAACCAACAATAAAAGGCAGAACACTTCTTCAAGACGAATCGAAAATGATCCTTCGACTGAAACCTTTTATCCATGCACAAATCAGGACAATGAATGAACGAATAATGAATGACCCAAGCGAAACTTTATAAATCAGAACCAATCAGTTTAAATGTTAATTTTAAAAGATTAAAAGATTAAAAGTCCTGTTTACTGCTCCTGACCAGTCAGTTCCCACTCGAAACCGTGATTTAAATATGTAGGTTATGCAATGAATTTAATGAGGGTGTCCAACACATTGTCAGTGGATGTCCCAGCTTTGGCATAAACACAGTATCTTGAGCGACATGATGGCGTGTCTCTATCGTTTTGTTACTGTCTTCCCTATGCTTCCCTATACGACCCAGAATATATAGATGGCTTCATGGAGAATGGTAAAAGGAAAATTCTTTTGAATAGGCCCGTATACAATCTCAGACCTATCCAGGCAGACAAACCTGATCTTTTTGATAAATCAAATGAAATCATTTATATTATGGTTTTGCTGTTCCTTTTGAAACAAATGTGATTGGTAATATTCTGGAAAAAACATGGCAAATATGCAGACCTCGCTTTCGAAATGTCATGCTTGCATCCCAAGTGACAAGTGGTTCGATACCACATTGTTTTCAGTGCCTCCCAATCAGTCTGACATTGGGAGAACACCCGGGTTTGCCTCCAGGAATACAGAAGGATGTTGTGTTGGGGAGTCTTCACGTTTCCCTAAACATATTAATAAAAGTAAACTGTACATAATACACTGAGATTAACTATACCTACTGTTGCAAATAATATCAGGATGCAAATATACACATACAAATACCGGTACCTTACCAAACCGGTGCATCCATGCACATATGCATATATGTATTACCTACTAGTGTATTGTTTCCATCATTCGTGTCGTAAACATATGAATAATCATATAATATCATGTATATACGCCTGTACACATATACCTCTTCATACCAGTATATCACACATACAAACAACTATTAGACTGATCGACCGCCTCCGTGGTCTAGTGGTAGAGCGTCCGCCCGGAGAGCGTCATACCAAAAGACGTTAAAAGCTGGTACTTGTTGTTACCCTGTCTGGCGCTCGACATTAAGGGGCTAAAACAAGGACTGGTTGGCTCGGAGTCAGTATACTGTGTCTGAGTGGGGTATTCATGTTAAACTGCGGCATGGTATCTCAGTGAGCTAGCACTATAAATCGGCATCAGTCCGGAATAGTACAAGCAGCCACACACACACACACACACACACACACACACACACACACACACACACACAAACACACACTTACATGCACGTCGTTCTATAAGTACAGTAATCTTGGACGCGACGTTAAACACCATTTCACCTCACCTATTAGATTGATGTAATTGTTAAAACCCCACATATTTAAAAGTTCAAACCTTTTTGTGTTCACAATAACAACGTGAACAGGTGGTATAATAGCAAGGTTAATATCAGTAGATATGTCAGCATTTTCATACAATACTGAATTCAAGTCATATCATTATATATTATAGTATGAAAAGAAGTAATGTGTATTAGCCTCATAATAGTATCCACAAGAGCAGGCAGTAGAATCCTGAATATGGCTGAGTGCATTTATATCAGCGCATGATAAATCTGAGGTGAGAGATATAATTTGACAGAAGGGTTGCTATAGTTGAAGTCTAATTTATAGCCAGCCATTTTTATATTTTCAGTTGTGGTGATACTTTTAGAGAAACCACATGCAGTATTTTAACCGAATATCATCCGGTAATTCATTCCATATTCGCACTGTATTAGGTAGAAAGTATTCGTAGTCGTTAACAGTTCTAGCGTTTACAGTCTACAGGTGTGAAGAAGTTTTTATATTGTAACCAGCAAACACTGAGACAAGATCACAGAGATCTTCACGAGCCATATAACCTTTATATATATAATGTTTTACATTTATAGATTGTCGTCTTTTGGACATGGGTGTAAAATTATTTTCATATTATAGAAACTGGCGCCTGGTACCACGAATAGCTCCACATATTGTTCTATCTGCGTTTAAATTCTCTACCGTATTTCCTCTGGACAGGTGGTATTTGAAAGTTCTGAGGCAGTTGGTCATATCAGACTTATTTTCTTACAACCAAAAAACGGCCGGTCGGGTAGCCTAGTGGTTAAAGCGTTCGCTCGTCACGCCGAAGACCCGGGTTCGATTCCCGACATGGGTACAAATTTCCAGTGATTAATATCATGAGCATCGATGCATGCAATTGGGATCGATGACATGCATCAACCAAGTCAGCGAAATTGGCCACCCGATCCCGTTAGTCGCATCTTACGACAAGCATAGTCGCCTTTTACGGCAAGCATGGGTTGCTGAAGACCTATTCTACCCCGGGTCTTCACGGGTGCGAATTAGATTTAAATAGAAAAGTTATATGATGAATAGAATTCGTCACGAGTGTTAATTATTATTATGAACGTGAAATATGAACCCCGTCTAAGACATTATCGTAGGCTCGTATTGAAAAGCAAAAAGTGACGAATTCTCTCTCTATATATATATGGAGAGGGAACTCGTCACTTTTTTATATAAACTCGAAACTCAAGTGACGTCAGATCAAGGTCCATCGTTTCATCTGCAAGAGCGGCA